TAGAAATTTTTTATTTTTATTTTATTTTTTTATTTATTTTCTGATGTGGCTGGATGATGTGGCGAAATGTGCTGATTTGGCGAAATTTGTATGACGTGGCATGCCACGTCAACATTAAAATTGACGGAACATAACGTCGTTTACGGATATGGAGGAAATTGCAACACATTTTAAGATTTTGTGTAGGAATTTGGAAATATTTGAAATCCGGTGTAGTTTTTTGTCAAATTAAAAATTGGTGTAGGAAATTGGAACTTTTTCGAAAATTTGTGGGGGAATATGGGATTATCCCTTTTTTTTTTTGATGAAATCCAACCCGTTATTTCCAACATCGTCGGTCCGATCTGGCCCGATCTCGTACTCGGTCCGAAGATTTCAAATTTAGTTTGGATCTGACTGATTTTTTTGAGTCTATATAATTAATTCTGAAACCCGAATCTATATATTCTGGGATCGGATCGGGGCGGGTCGAGCCGATCCGACCTGCATAAATACTTTTTGTAAATCTTATTTTTTTAATATCATATTTTCGGACCGTCTCTATTCGAGTTCGAAACTCGATTCGAGTCCAACCCGAAAGCTTAATTATTTTTTTTTGAGTCAAGAAATTTAGATCCGAAGTCTGCTAATTTTCGGGCTAGACCAGACGGGATTTTAGAGTTTGTTAATTGTTATATAGAATAGCATTAGAAATTACGAAGATTTTGAGTATTATATATTTATTGTATTAAATTTTTTATTCTTTATATAATTATAATTTTTTTTATTGTTGTACTCTAATGACGATAATGATGACGACGAACATGGGAAAAACATACAACCTAATGTATAATTTCAGAAAACAATATTTGTATGGGAATATTCGAGTTCAAAATCTTCAAATATTTACATCTATGCTTTGTATAGTCTTTGTCTTGCGCATAATACACATTCACTTTTTTTAGATTAAGATCTAACATTGAAACTAAAAAAAAAACATAGATAATGGTTGTAATTTTTGAAGGCCCATTATTTCACTTAACTGGGCCTAACAACGGCCCAAAAGGTGCCCAACTTTACCAATCGAACTAACTAGGTTTTCGCCTAAACCGCTAAACGCGGCGTTTCATTCTTGGAAACCTCAGACTCACCTAGAGACTTCGGAACCCTCAGAGGCTTTTCCACATCATCGATATGGTCTATCTAATGAAGGAAAAAAAGACGTGGAGTGCCTTTGTGAAATCAAATTGGATAATATGTAATTATCACTTGATCAATCCAAACAGAAAATATACATATATTCATAACCATTGTAATTCATCATTTCTCAATGTAACAACACTCTCTTATAACGCTCGCGCCCATTCTCACTCTCTTTCACCATATGGAAGAACCCGTTATTTCGAAAAACATTGTAGTAGTATATTATATCATGGTATCGAGTATTCTCAAGCGAATTTTCCGAGGTACTCTTCAACGCTCGTGTACTTGACATCGGGGTAAAGCTCGGACGCCTCAAACCCGAAAGAAGGGTCGATATTAAACGAAGTTTGATCGCCCTTCACGAAGACCGAGTGGTTTATGGACAGAACAACATTGATGGGGATCGGAGATTCTGCAAGAAAAGCATAAGCATAGGATCTTTTTCATAAGTTAAATGTTTGAAAATCCGAACGTGGAACGGAGATTGTTGTACGGACTCACCTTGGATGCTCTTGAGGAGTTGTTCTTCTGAAATGTAAGTCTTCTCGAGGGTCTTGCCGATCTTGCTCTCCCACAAGGCGACGAGATCGTTCACCGAGACGATGTTCTTAGGCGGGTTTATGTAGAGAAATTTGTTCAGAGTTTTCGGATCATCGACGGCTTTAATGGTGTAGGCAGCAATGTCTTCCTCCTTGTTGATAACAGCTGCATCACAACGATGAATCGATGCAAAATATCATCTTACAATGTAATAAATCTGAATTCAACTCCGTTTGGTTTGAGTTTATATCTAATCGGATTCAGTTTTAAACAAGATTTAACATAGACTAAATCCAAAATCTGAAATGAACCGGTGTTTATCCATATAGAAAAACAAACAATGTAAAATTCTAACCGAAACAGTGTCTATTTGCATTTAGCAACTCAAAGATCTACTCTCTGTCGGAACTGGCATGTAGCAGTGATGTCACTTTATATCTTATGCTATTTATATATGGAATTAAAAAGAAAAAAATAGCTTATCAACAAGATTTCAGCAAATTTAAAAATGTAGTATATGAACAAAAATATTAAATATTTCTTCTTCTTTTTTTGTGTGTGTGTGTGTTTTTACCTTTGGCATTACCATCGCCATAGATGGTGACTTTGTCTCTAGGAGGGGAAGAGAGGCCTGGTTGAAGCTGAACCAATGTGGTAAGGTAATAACCGGCGAAGCAGTTGGCCACAACGTACGTGTGCGGTATTCCTTCTGCCTCTACGGCTCTTCTGATCTGCGCCTTCACCGAAAACGCCGATTTCGCCGGCTCTACCGCGTTCGTACGGTCCACGTCCGTCCCGAACTCCGACGGCAGGAATCTCTGCCACCCGAAAATTCGGAACGAATAGACACCATATGTAATGATTGATGAGTAAGAGATGAACATTTCGAGTCCTTTCCATATATAAATATTTGTTAATTTCTTTTGTTAGTAATGTATTTATTGAATATTTATAGTAAAAAAAATATAAGAGCAAACTGACCTTGACGTTACCAGCTTCCTTGATAGCAGCAATGATCTTGGTCTGATCCATGATTTGCATGCTACCAATAGCGGAAATCACCACGTCTACTTGCTTTATCGCCTTCACCAAACTCTCATGATCATTTACATCTCCCTGCATCATCATCATCATCATCATCATCATCATCATCATCATCATCATTTCGAACACGAATTTTGACAAAACCCGATGATAAAAAAGGCTCACATGTAGTATGTTGACACCAAGATCTGTGAAGCTCTGAACGAGTTTTCCCTTGACGGGATCCGAAGCTGAGGACTCGCGGACGAGGACGAAGGTAGGGTTTCCGGCCTTTGCGCTCGCCTCCACTACGAATTTTCCGATGTAACCGGTCCCTCCGATGACCAGAATCTTGCTTTTTCCCGACATGCTTCACGGTTTTTCCGGTGAAGTCTCGAACACTATGGTGTGGTTTTGCTTTTCTGTCTTTTGGTTGCGGTATGTTGGGCAAAGGGTGTTGAATATATATATATAGGCTCAAGGTTGTTTTGTGAATATACCAAAGTACCCTTCTATATTCTGTATTTTGTTTTTGTTAAAAAAAGAAAAGGGGGAGAGAGTGATGGTCCATGTGACCAATTTCACAGCGTTCGTTGAATCTAGACACTTCCATTTACTATAACTAGTCCGTCATAATACTCGAATTAGTAAGTTCGCTTTTTTAAATGCGATTTAATTAGTGCTAACCAGATAGTTGAATTTAAAATTGGTACTTTTTATAGTTGAATTTAGTTGGGTATTAATACACAACTGGAATATTATCTCTAATATCACTTTTTTTTCTTCAAATTCCAGAGTTAATGTCCTTTTTTGCAGATGGTATATTTGGTGTATGACAAAAAGAAAAGAAAGAAAAAAAAACAATTTTTACGGTAGATCTATTGTGCCAAATATATATTTTATACAAGTAATCCCTAAAATTATAATTTTTGAAATTACTAAAAATGGTCATGTTCGGAAATTAAAAAAAATCCGATTGCTGTAGAAGTGTTGAGAAGATTTTGGAGAAAAATAAGTAGATATACAACATATATACAGAATATTCTCCGCTAACAATGAGTCATATTCGTTGCTCATTTTTTTTATATGGAATTTAAATATGATAAAAGTTGACTCAAATATGATAATCAGCAGTTTAAAGATTATTTTAATTGTGTGAATTATTCAAACGGGACTTTGAACACAACATTAAAATTATAGATGGGCAAAAGCTAATATAAAATATAACTTCTAAAAAACTTACTTTATTTTACAAAATCATATTTAGTTTCCAAGAAAAAAAATAGCATTCTTAGTTCGAAAGCAATAAAATATTTCGGATTGGATTTCTTTGTCAGCACGCGTGGGCCCCCGACAACTTCTTCTGAACAAAAGTTGAATAAATTACAAAACTACCCACGCAATGAGTGGAAGGAATCCACCAGGTCAGGGTTAGTGAAGGGTATTAATGGTATTTAGGTGAGGTGAGAGAATGTTCTGTGCACCTTTACCTTGTATCATATAGATTTTTTTCATTATGAAGTTGTCGAAACCTCAAGATCATGTTCATATGAAAGAATAATATCAATAGGTTTGAAATATTTTTAATAATTATTGTCTGAATGAAGAGTTGGGACATCTCTTCTCGAGTTATGGCGAAACATATGCATGTAAATGAGATACTATATGTATTTGTTTTGGATAATTTATTATTTCTTTCAAGGAAAAAAGGCTTTAGATAATCTTGTGATATTGATCCCGAAACGTCGACGTTTTGCAGTTTCACGAGACTGTAAATGGTATGGTATGCACTAATTACCCTATGAAATAACGATTGAGAAACATAATTAAAAATCAAAGAGTTTCGTCACTGATGGAACAAAATATAACAGCAAATTAGATGATGATAATATTATTTGGGCTGAAAACAAAAGGCCTAGATGGCTTATTACATAATACGACAAACACAAACATCATCCCCCAAACGTAACGAGGGAAAAAAAAAGGGAAACATAAACGACATCGTCTCTTGGGTGTGCATATCACCAAGCAGCACTTATTCTCAACGTGTATAGTTGCTCAAAGGAACTTGTTAAGGTAGTCGTCGACGGTGGTGTATTTGACGTCGGGGTAGAGCTTGGAAGCCTCTAATCCAATCGAAGGGTCGATGTCAAACCAAGTCTGGTCAGCCTTCACGAATATCGCGTGGTTGCATGCCAACATTATGTTGATCGGAATTGGAGACTCTGAAAAATAATTAATGGTGAAATCAAACAATCATATATATATATATATATATGCGAAGCGAAAAATGTGATTCAAAACTGTAGATTTCGTTTATTTAATACCTTGGATGTTCTTGAGAAGTTGTTCCTCGGAGATGTGGGTCCTGTCGATGGTTTTGCCGATCTTTTTCTCCCAAAGTGAGACGATGTCGTTGTGGGAGACGACGTTGCTGGGAGGGCTGATGTATACGATCTTGTTCAAGGTCCTCGGATCATCGATGGCTCTCATGGTGTATGCCGCAGTGTCCTCCTCGAAGTTGATGACGCCTTTGGCGTTTCCATCTGCGTAAATGGTGACTTTGTCCCTCGGTGGAGACCTGATCGCGAAGTCGCATTGCGCCAAATTCGCCAGGAAATACCCGGCAAAGCAGTTGTTGACGACATACGTGTGAGGGATCCCTTCGGCTTCTATGGCACGACGGATCTGAACCTTCATCTCGAACTCCGATCTCAGAGGTTCAACCGCTCGGGTACGGTCCACGTCATTCCCAAACTCGGACGGCAAGAATCTCTGCCACCAAAGTTAAGAAACATTATAAATACGATTAATCACATCATAAATATGATTAAGGGAGATCAATATGCAAATCAATATCACCTCGTAGACAATTAATATCGTCCAAAGATATACACTGTTATACCTTGACGTTACCGGCTTCCTTGATGGCGGCAATGATCTTCAACTGATCTAGTATTTGGGCACCACCCACGGTCGAGATCACCACGTCGACCTGCTTTATCGCTTTCACCAAGCTATCTTTGTCGTTTATGTCTCCCTGAATCATCACAACATTAATCACACGATTAGATATCATCGATCATTAGACCAAAACCGATAGACGGAACGGAAGCACGAGTCGGGAGAGATAGGCTCACGTATAGGATGGTGACACCGAGATCTTTGAAGCTCTGGACGAGCTTGGCCTTGGCGGGATCCGAGAGAGAGGCCTCTCTGACGAGGGCGAAGGTGGGATGGCCGGACTTTGCGCTTCCTTGGACGATGAATTTTCCGATGTAACCAGTTCCTCCGATCACAAGAACCCTGCTCTTCTCCGCCATTTTCTTACAAAAAGTGTCTGAAGGAGAGGATGTTAATGTTTAGTATTGTTATAGAAGAATTCTTGCTTTAGTGCTTTGTGGTGTCCCAATAGGTGGTGGTGGAATTTATAGGCCGAAGTTGTGAGATGTGAATTACCACATTACCCTTGTCTACGTTGACTTTGATTTTTCCTGGGGGTTGGCTTTCTCGCACCAAACGTCACTCTTACGCGATTCGAATCATTTTTCTAGATAATCTTGACTTTTTTTTTCTTCTAAGTAAAAGATTTCACTATTTACTTTTTTTTTAAACTTTGGTTCGACAAGTTAAAATTTTTTCTTTATATTTAAAATTATTTTCTTATAAAATAATTTCTATTTAAAATTATTTTCTTATAAAATAAAAACTGTTATATTTTTTCGTTTGTAAAATAAAATTTTCCAAGTAACGTTGTTTTTTAGTCAACAAGAACGATTCCGATTTTACGCTGTAAATACCGTCCATAAAGTTATTGTTATGAAAAGAATAATAATTTACTTATCATTTTGGATAGTCTAATGATAAAAAATATGTAAAATATATTTTTATTTCAGATTTAAATTCAAGTGTGGAGAGATGTATTCAATCAGATTTCTTCTATCCTCTGAAAAATATAATTGGGTTAAATACTCAGTAATTTTTCGGATTATAAAAAACGAATCATAACTTGCACGAAAAATATTAGATCTCAGCAAATTATGTGCATATAAAAATATACAAATTTTTTGTTATTTTTTTGGCACATTCAAATTTTTATATCGATGTATCGTTAGCCTTTTTCTTTGGTTTATTGGTTGAGATATATCTCTGAAAGATGGGAGTCTTACGGATAATAACGAAGATTTTTGGGAGTAAAAGTCCCAACGAGAAGAAGCTTTCCCAATCGTTACGTTCAAATAAAGAAGTAAGGCCATTCACACAGCTCGAACATTCCGAAAAATAATATTACATATTTCTCTTATCCCATTAAAAAATATTTCAACAGTCAAAGTTCAAACAGTACGAAATCTTAGATATTATTAAAAAAATCTAGAATATAATTGTTCTTAGATCAATTTGGACCGGCTTTTAATAAATCCGAGCTTGTGAATCTGGACGAAGTTATGGGCAAATGTGTGAGTTCGTTCATTAGTCAAAGGTTTTATACAGCAAGTGTTGGGTCGTCCATGGACGAAGTAAACCGGCGTTTACCAACCACTCTTCTTCATATGCGTATGTACAAGTAGAAGAAGCGTACAAAATTAAGTAATGTTACGGTTTCTAGTTGAAATCTAATGGTGGAATACAAAGATAAAAATGATAAAAGATGATATCATAAATATATAGACATATTATCTTTATATTCAATTTACCTTTCACGTGTATATCGTGGACTCGTACGCGTGGATCGAATATCCGAAATATAGTAGAAATTTCCACGATAATAAAAAAATACACGTTATTATGGTAAAAAAATTCAAAAGATAGGAAAAATATCTGATTTTTTTTTAACGTCCGATCCACTTCTTTCCAAATCGTAACGCTAACTAATGGTTAAGATATTTACAAAACTGCCACTGTTATATAAACTTACGTTATTAGGGTTTGATCCATCCGCTGTTCTCTTACCGTTTCTGCATTGGTCTATCTGTTAATTATTCATACGTCGTTTCATCTCTTCTCTTTGAATATTTAAAAGTTTGGGATATATCCGAAATTCCGATATTTAATATCCTCGGATCTAGAATTGAATTTTCAAACATTAAAAGACAAACTGTTTGGATTAAAGATGGGATATTCCCAAAATTTCAGTACTTGCTACGTGTCGATATGGCATAATCGAGCTTATGTCATGGCCATGATGTGACGCAAATATTCAAGAATTCATAATAATCGATTTTAATTTATAGAAGTGAAAATATATCTGCTCTAATGTTTATTTCAATTACAGAGTCACAGATCTCTTTTGCCTCTTTTTTTATTATTATTATTATTTAGGTTATGCAAGCCCAAACAAACGGACTTTCTACTGCAACTACAAATTCGTTTCCGAAGGAAATAATTTATAAGATATAAAAAAATTAATTTAAAAGCATAACTATTAATAAGTCCTATAAATATTTATTTTCTTAGTCCTAATATATAATTTCCTTATATAAAAAATTAACTTCATTCAGATTACAATGCTATAATTTTTTTTATAGATACTTTAGAAGTTATATGGTCTATGGATAGAAGTAGGTGTCTTTATTTGTATCTTTTATTTTCCATTGATCAGTACGAATTTTAAAAACAAATCTAGAGTCTCGACAGTCAAAGTTCCAAAAGTCTCTGGTCTTCGGTCAATATAGACAGCCATTTACTAAATCTCAACTGTTAGAAGCAATAGAGACAAATTGATAAAATTCGTATTTGAAATACAAATTTTTTAGTAATATAAAGACATTCAGACGAATGCATAATATAGACCGGTGTTTTCTAATGTTCATGATAGTGTTTAAGCTTGCACAAAAATAAAAAAAAAAAATTAGGGAGAATGTCAAATTTATTTGAAAGGACTTGGTCAATGTAAAAAATATCTAGTTCACACACTTATGTAAATTATAATTTTTTATTTATGATATAAACTAGATATCCAGTTTGGATAATTATAAGAAAATGGTAGTGTTTGAATATGTAATACGAGATATGGTTGATATTAAAATATACCATTTTTCTATTTATTAACCATATCATTTTTTTAGGTTGTGAATTTTGAATACTTTTCGTTATTATTTGACTATCTCGAAGCTCTTTCGCACGGGATTGTCTTGGATAACACAGGGTAGTTGTGAAATGAATTTATGGAACTATATTAATTTCAAAATTTATGTTTCAGAAATTTAGAGTTTTTTTTTGGTTCTATAAACCTAAGATTATAATTCACCGGATCCAATATTGCAAGTCTGTAAAGTAATTTCTATCAACTCTGCAAATCACTAAAATAACAATCCCATCCATGAATCTTAATCACAAAAATTGATTTTGTTAGAAAAATAATCATTAATTAATAAAAACAGGACCGATTTGCATCTTAAGCTAACGATTGATGTTACAACACTATATGCCGATATGCCTTTGATGATAATTTGACCATAATTATTATTGTAAAACTACGATTGTTTTCCTTATATTTAATAAAATAAAATCCAAAAGTATCATAATTGTTTTTAAGCTTTCTAACAAAAGCGGTCATTCGAGTCAACGGCGTAAAAAAATCAACCGAAACGTAGAAAAGGGTATTTTGGTAACTTCGTCGGTCCATATCTGGCCTATAAATTATGCGAACACCTCTTGAGCAAAACATCAAACACAGCAAGAATTCTTCTATAACATTACTAAACAAAACAGCCTCTTTTTCAGACAGTTTTTTGTAAGAAAATGGCGGAGAAGAGCAGCGTTCTAGTGATCGGAGGAACTGGCTACATCGGAAAATTCATCGTCCAAGGAAGCGCAAAGTCCGGCCATCCCACCTTCGCCCTCGTCAGAGAGGCCTCTCTCTCGGATCCCGCCAAGGCCAAGCTCGTCCAGAGCTTCAAAGATCTCGGTGTCACCATCCTATACGTGAGCCTATCTCTCCCGACTCGTGCTTCCGTTCCGTCTATCGGTTTTGGTCTAATGATCGATGATATCTAATCGTGTGATTAATGTTGTGATGATTCAGGGAGACATAAACGACAAAGATAGCTTGGTGAAAGCGATAAAGCAGGTCGACGTGGTGATCTCGACCGTGGGTGGTGCCCAAATACTAGATCAGTTGAAGATCATTGCCGCCATCAAGGAAGCCGGTAACGTCAAGGTATAACAGTGTATTCTCTTTATGTATATCTTTGGGCGATATTAATTGTCTACGAGGTGATATTGATCTCCCTTAATCATATTTATGATGTGATTAATCGTATTTATAATGTTTCTTAACTTTGGTGGCAGAGATTCTTGCCGTCCGAGTTTGGGAATGACGTGGACCGTACCCGAGCGGTTGAACCTCTGAGATCGGAGTTCGAGATGAAGGTTCAGATCCGTCGTGCCATAGAAGCCGAAGGGATCCCTCACACGTATGTCGTCAACAACTGCTTTGCCGGGTATTTCCTGGCGAATTTGGCGCAATGCGACTTCGCGATCAGGTCTCCACCGAGGGACAAAGTCACCATTTACGCCGATGGAAACGCCAAAGGCGTAATCAACTACGAGGAGGACACTGCGGCATACACCATGAGAGCCATCGATGATCCGAGGACCTTGAACAAGATCGTTTACATCAGCCCTCCCGGCAACGTCGTCTCCCACAACGACATCGTCTCACTTTGGGAGAAAAAGATCGGCAAAACCATCGACAGGACCCACATCTCCGAGGAACAACTTCTCAAGAACATCCAAGGTATTAAATAAACGAAATCTACAGTTTTGAATCACATTTTTCGCTTCGCATATATATATATATATATATATATATATGATTGCTTAATTTCACCATTAATTATTTTTCAGAGTCTCCAATTCCGATCAACATAATGTTGGCATGCAACCACGCGATATTCGTGAAGGCTGACCAGACTTGGTTTGACATCGACCCTTCGATTGGATTAGAGGCTTCCAAGCTCTACCCCGACGTCAAATACACCACCGTCGACGACTACCTTAACAAGTTCCTCTAAGCAACTACACACGTTGAGAATAAGTGCTGCTTGGTGATATGCACACCCAAGAGACGATGTCGTTTATGTTTCCCTTTTTTTTTCCCTCTTTACGTTTGGGGGATGATGTTTGTGTTTGTCGTATTATGTAATAAGCCATCTAGGCCTTTTGTTTTCAGCCCAAATAATATTATCATCATCTAATTTGCTGTTATATTTTGTTCCATCAGTGATGAAACTCTGTGACATCTAAACCAAAAACGAAACATGATTCAGCATCCAAACTCTGGAAAAGAAAAGTTTTGTTCAATCAGTGAAAAATATTTTGCTTCATAATTCCTATTATTTAATTTGAAAAGACGTTGCGCATTGGTATAATTTAAATAATCATACATAATCACACTTTACATCATATATTAACGCACAAAACAGTTGAATGATAAAATCTTCAGAAAAGCCCGACGCCATTTTTATCGCCCTTTGCATCTGAATCTCCAACTCACTCGACTTTGGTATTTATATATATATATATATATATAGATGGTTTACTATTAAGATTCTGCTAAAACCCGATATTAGGTTTAAAGTAAGGAATCAAATCCGTATAATGAAATTAACAGAAGCCCAGTCTTCCAAACGATTCCAAGACTAACCCTTGATTCACAAGGAAGGAACAAAATGATGGATACCACAAAAGGGGTCAATTTATTACAGAACACAACTACAGTTTAAAACTCAAATCACACCAAAGAAATGCCCAAAGCCACTGGGCAAGTGTAGTCCCAACAACTGTGTTTTCCAGATGAAAATTTTCAAGATTTGTTAACCACTGACCTTTATCTCATTCTTGCAGCTCTTGATACAAAACCTGTGGGTGCCGCCATGTCCATCTTCAATCTCTCCGAAGGAGCAAATCCTAGAGCTTTCATTAGATCAAACATTCTCCTGGCGTCTTTTTCAAACCCGCCTGATTTCAGCCCCGTTACTACCGTCTCAAAGTCGTTCTGTTCAAGCTGATCCTTTTTCGCTTCCAAAACCCCGAGGGTTTGAAGTGTCTTCTTCTCGTTCTTTGCCCGCGAATACATATAGCACAGACTTGCCTGGAGCCCAACAGGAGGAGCTTCTCCTAGCTGAGAAATCTTAACCAGAAGCTGCTCAACCTCATCGTTCAGCCCGAGCCGAGCCATCCAGTCAACAAGAACGGTGTAAGTGAAAACACCGATTTCAAGCTCAGCCTTCTCCAGCTGCAACAAAAGGTTCAATGCCTTGTCCAGTGAGTTCCTTTTCTTATATGCTTGGATCAGATAGCTGATGCACCTGTCATCGGGTTTGTGCCCGAGCTTTCTCATGTAGTCAAAGTTGCTCCTTGCCTGATCTGCATCACCTTCCCTTCCCCAGGCTTCGATAACTAAACTAAAAGTTTCGTAATTCAGCTGAATTCCATCAATTTGCATTGAGGTGGATATCCGTGAAGCTGCAGAAGCGTTTCCCAGTTGAGCGAAAGATCGGAGCACAACCATGTAAATTTCCTCCGAAGGCTTCACGTCTTTCGCATCCATTTCTCTTAACAATGACTCGGCTAAATCGGGCTTGTTAGCATTTACGTAAGCCATGATCATGGAATTGTAGATTTTCATATCTGGTCGGAACCCTAAGCTTTTCAAGCTATCAAATTCCTCTTTTGCACGGTCAAGGTTGCCTGATTTACTGTACATACGAACCAAAGTGGTGGCCGTTGCAATGTCCGAAAAGATTCCATTTTGGTTCATTTTCTTCAAAATCCTCTCAGCATCTTCTATGCGGTTCGCCTGGGCATGTGCATCGATGAGTTTTGAGTAGTCCCGGATACCGGCCTGGAAAGACTTATCGTCGAGAACGAGTTCTGCCACCTGAAGAACATCCAGCCAGAATCAGAGGATCAAAATAACATACCGTGTCTAAATTTTTTATCTGGAAATTGTGAATTAGCCACGCAACAATGCCAACTTCTGATAGATAAAACACCTTAGACTATGAGTTATAAGAAAACAGAGACTCTACCAAAAGAAGCAACACTGGTCAAGATTTATGAAGCGCTGAAACAAATCATCAAAAGGCATAAATGCCAGAAAAACTATACTCAACATTTCAACCAATAAGTATCTATCTAGTGAACTTAATTTTCAACAGATTGATACCGAACAAGAAACAGTGACAGTGTACCTTTAAGTATAAGCCAGTGTTCTGTTCCCGCAACCGGTCAAGCAAAGCTGTCCAGTCAACCCGGTGTGGCTGCAAGAGCTCTGCCCATTCAGCCATCAATGCTGAAGGGTCATCTTCCTCCTTCAGGGATAGAAGCTTCTCCATAACCATTTTGCATTTCCCGGTAACAGGTTTCGGCTCTGTCCATTCTATCTCCTCTGCTTCGTGAATCTTATCAGCCACTTCAACCCATTTCGGATCCGACAAGTCAAGCCCGTAAATCTTGTACCTAAACTTCCCCTTCCGCTTAGGAAGAGACAAAACCTGAGGTTGTTCTTCCTCGTCTGGGCAAATAGTCCCTTCTTCTCCAAACTCTGTTTCGACGCTCTCTCTCGCTCTCGCCTCTTCACGTTGCAGTTCCAAGCTCTCATAAAAATCAGAATCTTCCATTTTCTCTCTTGCCCATTTGAACCTAAGTTCTCTGAGCATATCCCCACGAATACCAATTTCTCCAGCAAATCTACACATTTCCATCACCTCCGGATCTTGTATGTATTGCTTCATCTTCTCTTTCTCTCTCTCCTTCTCCATATCCTTCAACACAGTATTACTCACCTCCCACACGGTATTCCATAGATCGTCGCTAAAATCCGCCGACGGCGAAGGTGACGGTGCAGAAGAACATACCTGACCAATCCCACCTCTTTCGATCTCCTCCACGACTTTCTGAACAATAAGCAAAAGCATACCATCTACCGTTGTCTTGTCACAATCTGGATATGCTTCAGAAACTTTCCGACGCATTATCCAAACGAATCGAGACAGGAACTCGTTAGTGGACCCATTGTCGTCGTCGCCGTCTTCTTCCTGGTCATCTGAGACAGCAACACTGGACTCACTGAGTCGGGTCTCACGAGTACAGTGGAAATAACGATTCAAAGACGAGATGGGTATAGGGGATTTGGGATATTTCAAGAGATTGAGCTCTTCATGGCTGCTTAAGTGGCGATCAGAGTTAGAAATTGACGCTGTAATGGCGGAGAAGTTTCTGCAGAAGTTGGGACTTCTCGAAGATAATGTCGAAAATCGATTGACTGCTTGTCGAGAGACAAGAAAAGACTTCATCTTCTTCGACGGATGAAGAGAAAATTGGGGGAACAAAAACCCCAGCAAAACCCTAACCCTAGCTGAAATCTGACGATGGAAGACAAATGAGATCAGACGGGGACAAAAAAGTGGAACAAGAACTAGGGTTGCCGTTCTACTCCTCTGTCTGAGGTTAAAACGACGTGAAGTTCTTCAAGGGAAAAGGTTGCATGATGTTTTTAACTACATGAAACGACGTGAAGTTGTATTGGAATGGATAATTTTTTTTTTGACAAAAATAACAAATTCATAGAAAATCATTTCGATTTGACCATAGGCCACAAATTCTTCACTCACTTTCCATCATTTTAATCTCAAGGTTATATTATTTCCTTCTATATTATACATCCATTTAAATAAAATTCGATTACATTTCAAATAATCCAACCATTCTAAAATTTTCCAAAATAATACGCATAATTTTGGAGCTATTTCATATGCACCAAAACCTACTTTTTTGGATCTAATATGTATTATGTAGTATCATCAATCACTTTAAATCTTTTTATCCTTTAAGTTCCACAATCTGGTTGGAAAAAAATATTGCAAAAATATTTGTTATAGAATCGGATTCGAACATCGTTTTGATAGTCCATTGATCTATTAAATTTTCTTAATAATGTTTAATATAATAAAATATAAATTAGACAACCAATATAAAAACTATATAAAGTTGTAAAGATATTTTAAAATACTAAATTAAAAAAAAATAGAAAAGATCAAGTGCTTTTTTTCAAAGACGTATTTTAGCAAAAGGAAAAACTATTAAACAGTATTTCCCATTTTCTTGTTTTTTTAAAAATATTTTATGGGCAGTTCTCCGATTTTTAGAAACTTCACATCTTTCTTTCGCTATACCTTTTTTTTTGTGGAACTCTTTTTATATAAATTTTATTTCTGGGTATAATGAAATTCTTTTGCACTGTCTATTTTCATTTATCAATAAAGTCAAATGATATAAAAAAATATTCAATATAAAGGGAAGGATATAATCACGTAAAAATAGAGAATTTATAAGATATGGAGAAATCACCCTTTACGGAGAATACGACTACGTGATTCTTTCTTCCTTATGCCTTCCCTTACATTTTCAGTGGTTATAAGACAATTGCTTGTCGCTCAAATGACCTCTTCCCATATTCCAGAAGTCATAAATTCAAAAACCCTATATATTGGAATCTGAAGGTATAGAAAATGATAAATTTAATGTCGAATTGTTAAAAAATATAAATAAAATAATGTGATTAAAATATCTCCACAAAGTTCGGTACACTTGATAGGAAGAATATGACATATCAATACCCGTTGTCCGATGCTCGAGCATTTCCAAATGCGCATCTCTTTCGCGTAACCATTTTCTGGAAATATTAAATTAAGATAATATTGCATGCGTATATATTGGTAGAGGAACAGCAATTATATAAGTATTAAAAAAATATATTTTATAAATTTATTCATTATACCTTTTCGGTTTCATTGGTTAAATTTTCGGTTTAACCCAAAACTATTTTAACATAGTAATTTGTTTTGCTATCTTTTCCTTTTGTTGTCTCTTTACAAAACATACATATCCACGTACTAACGATAGCCATATCAGATTACGTCGAGCTATTAATCAAAAGTACACATATTTTTTGTATCTAGATTTTTAAATTCTGCATTAATATTGTATGATAGAGTTCTTGGGGGTTCGAAACCAAGATTATGGGGCATGAGGCAATTTTCAACCATGCATATGGCATACTATGAGTCGTGACTATGATGTAACTTTTAATAATATAAACTTTTCCTTTATTTCAATAATGATTAATAATGATCATTCGGATATGATAACACATCAATGCTAAGAGGTACAAATCAAAATTGGGATCTAATCCCCACATAATTGAAAAGTTGCAAAAAAAAAACATGATTTTGTATAAAAATTGTAGTTAAAACTTAAAAGTGAAAATGATTTCTACAAATAGAAAATGAAAGAATTACCTGTCTCGATTTCCACAAGTTGCTCCACTCTCGTCCATATGATGGTTGGTGCATCCGATGCAATTGGAGACAACAATTGACCCCAGAAAATTCAGATTCTACTTGAAATATTCTCCTTCTAATTTTCTAATTTAGTTTTTATTTATAATGATAGTATCTTGTATATATTAAAATTTTATTTATAAAAAAACATCATTCGAATGGATTTACCCATCCACGAGACGAGAAAAACGCGTATAAGAGACGGAACGGAAGTTTAGAAAAATGGTTCATATATAAAAATAGAATTTGAATCTTATCGAAATATATTTTAATTTAAAAGATAAGACACGTATGTAAATAAACATTCATTAATCAATGCACAAATCTCCGAAAAATGGTTTGAGTTTATATAATTACTACAATTGGTTTCTGCTGAAATATTCTTCCGAAAGTTTTACATGGCATTGCCGATGAATAAAGAACTAAGAACTGTACAGGTTTTTAATTTTTATAGCTCATGTCTGGACCTCATAAAAAAAACAAAATAATAATAATTATAGGGAAAAAGATTCTCCAACTTGGAGAATCTAGTTATCTTTTCCTACGTATAAGAATCCCCAATCGGCATTCATTTGTTCCTATCTTTCAGCCCTAAAACCCAAAACAAGCAACCGTTCTCATACATCTCTCTCTGTGAATTGATGGCATCAAGCTGCATGAGCTCGTCAACGTGGACGACAAAGCAAAACAAGAAGTTCGAGAAGGCGTTGGCAGTGTACGACAAGGACACTCCCGATCGTTGGGAAAACGTTGCCAAAGCTGTCGGAGGGAAATCCCCCGAAGAAGTCAAGCATCATTACGACATCCTCGTCGAAGATCTCATGAACATCGAGAGGGACAGAGTCCCTTTGCCCAAGTATAAGACTCTCTCACGACGCATCGATGACTTCGATTCAAGGTATGTATATATATATATATATATATATATATTGGTTGCAATGGATATCTTTTTCATGACCCACGATCAAATTTTTTTTATATGATTAGTATTTTATAAGATGTATATAAAATCGATATCGAAAAGAAATATATTATCATCAAATGCGTCTGATTTTTAACCTTACCCATTTAGCAGAACAAAACACCGAGATCTTATAATATTAAAGTGACATTTTGCTCTTCAATACAGTATCTATCTATCTATATATGCCCTAACATTGGATAACAAAATTACAAAACATGTTCAGAAAAAAAAAACTACAGTGTTGGTAAGTTTAGCCGGACATATGTAGATATTTTGTTCATCTTCTACATCAATCATCGAGTCATGAGCTTCGGTTCATCCCTCCAACGATAGTCTATGCATATTTTAATAATTCACGTTCGTAACATATATATATATATATATATATATATATATATATATATGTGTACATTAGGCTTTGTAAAGGAAAAAGGTCACATGAAATCTAATCCTTCTTGTGCTTCACATGCACATTGTCCTCAAATATGGAATCGTAATATACAAATAAATAAAAGAAAAGAATAATCCGAATCCTGCCCCTGGTCGGTGATCATCTCTCCAACATCACTTAATAATTTAGACTTTATTTTACTTTATAGTAATTAAGCAAAATAGATTTCGAGGAAACCCTTAAATTAATCAAACCCTCAAGTTGCTAATTAAATTTTGTTAATTCATGGAATCTAATAAAAAAAAAAGGCTTGAAGAGAAAACATCTTGCCTATTTCATCAAAAAAAAAAAAAAACATCTGGCCTTTGTTTTGATTGATTTTTATATTATTTTACTTCTACAGGTTGATGAAGAATCTGAAGATCTAGCGAAAGATCTAGTGAAGTTTCTTCGCCTTCGACATTATTGTCAAGAAATTGTGTAAAGATTATAAAAAAAATGCTTGTGAGTGTTAAGTAATATGCTTTTTTAAATGATGTTTTGTATCCGTTCCTTTTGTACTTCCTTCTCCTTAAATGTGTTCCATTCCAAGTTAAAGCTACTTTGCTGTTTTGTCGTTTTGTTCTGTTTCAATCGAACAATTCATTTATCGTCGGAACCTGTGATTTTTTTTAGGGCTGTGGAAATTCCATTTGGCTGTAATTGATTTGGCTCGTATTTAAATTTTTATTGATTTTTTTTTTTTTAAAAAACAATGGGTATTTTGTGACATCATTTAACCAACTCATCAATACTAATTTTCACCATCACCGGCGTCGACGAGCATGCACAAGGGATAACCGCAAACAAATAAAACTAAAAAAAATTAGAATTAGAAAATAAAATAAAAGCAATTAAATGCTGTAAAAATTAAAACCCATTAATTAAATTAAACAAATAAATTTCCTTACCATAAATAACCGATCTCTTCGGAAATCCGAGAAATACGATTAAAATCACGTAAATAAATAGATAAAAAGGAATACAATATATATATTTTTTTCAACGAAGAATTCCTAAAATTAAGAAAAGAGTTTGTCGGAATGGCCGGGAAAATGGCATCGGTGGTGGTGGTGGTTTTGTCGGTGATGTTGATCGTGTCTATGAAATCGGCGATTGCCATCGAGGAGCCGACGTTCGGACAGAGAATCGACCAGGCCACGACGGACTTCTCCAAGTCCTTCAACGAGCACGCCGTCCCCGCCGTCGACTCCTTCTCCTCCGCCGCTCAGTCCGTCTATGGCTGGGTCGGCGGTAAATTGAGGGATTTTTACGTTCTAATCCGTTTTTTTAAA